ACAAACGATGACGATGACGACAACGACGCCATATTGAAAACGAAAACGAACGAAAAACGAATTTTCGTTAACGTTAAAAAATTTTTGTTTTTTGTTTGTTTCCGATTTAAAATATTTAAACGTAATAATGATAATAATTATTTATTTATTTAAAACAAAAAATTATTTAATCATTAATAAGATAAATTAATTAAATAAAAAGAGAATTTTTTTTTTGTTTTCGGTTAACCGTTAACGGCCAAGTTCGCGTCCCGGATCGAAGAATTCATCAGGCTCGAGTCAAAATTTGAATCCCGGTAAGTTTACCCTGGGGAATAATTTTTATACGATTTAAAAAAAAAAAAAAATTATTTATTTTATATATATTTATTTTCCGTTACCGACACACAAACCCACGAAAAAAATTTAAAAGAAAAAAAAAAGAAAAACGACGACGACAACGACTTAATTTTTCAATCGAAAGGATTTGCTTGCAAAACCGTGAGATTGATATCAGGGGTTAATGCGCCAAAGATGAAGGTAAAAAAAAAAAAAAAATTTCGTTTTGAAAATTTTACAATGTTCGATCCGTATACATCTATCTCTTTCTAACACATAACATTTATACGGGTTATTGATTTTTTTTCCCGCGCGTCGTTACGTGAGTTGGTGTTCAAACGTTGTGAATATATATTCGTTACGGGGAAAAAAAATCCGTTTCGTTTTGAAAAAAAAAAAAAAAAAAACTCCCGACTGCATTCGAGTCGAGTACGGGCGACCAGCGCAGACGACGACGACGACAACGACAACAACGATTTTATTATTATTATTATTATTATTATTATTAGTTTTTTTTCATTCGAATGAATTAGTATTTATTTTAAAAAAAAAAAAAGAGGAGAAGTAAAAAGGAAGAAAAAGGAAGAAATAGGAAAAAAAGGAGTAGAAAAAATGTAATTTATTGATTACATTTTACCTTAAAGTAAACGGGAATCTAAAAAATATTTTTACGTTTTTAATTTTTATAAACGACGCGTTTAACGTTCGTTCGCGTTTTTTTTTTTTTTTTTTTCTCATATAATTAATATTTAATTTAAATTTAAATTTTAATAAAAAGTGATTTTTTTCTATCTATCTATCTCTATCCCACTCTTCTCTCTCTTTTTCTATAGCAGAAGTGAAAAAAAAACGTTTTTTTTTTTTTTTTTTTTTTTTAGTGGCGTTCAGTTCTTGTTTGACATTAGGAAGCATAACTAGGAGTGGCCATTTTGTGATTACCGTTTTTATTATTTTTCATATTTATTTTATGTAAAAGTGTTTTTGTTTTGTTTTTTTTTTGCATAAAAGTTTAATTAAAATAAAACAATCGAAAGTGTGAAAACGTTTATTATTATTATTATTATAACGCACGCACGCACGTACGCACGAATACACGCATACAAGTATAATTTTTTTTTTTTTTACATAGTGTTATTTATTCGTTAGTGTTGACCTCTCATTAAAAATACGTTACAAAAATTCGGAATTCTTTTTTTCAAATTCAAATGTTTGTTCGAATTAATCATAATAATAATAATATTAATTACATAATTTTTTTACGGTTTTAAATTTAAACGGTTTTTTTTTCAAAAGTGTGGATTTTATATATATATATATATATTTATAAAAAAGGAATAAATAATTATCTGGTGAGTTTTTTTTATTATTATCATTATTATTTATTTATTTAAACAAAAAGATTTTGTGGTGGAAAGGAAAATGAGAAAAAAAAAAAAAAATTTTTCTCGTTGTATCCTGAAATGAAAACGACGCCATTTTTTTTTTTTTTTTTTTTTCGAACCCATTTCCCAACGGAAAAATTTTTTTTTAACAAAAAAATTATTTATAACGTTATTGTTAATAATAATAATAACAATATTATTATTAATAAAAAAAGGCGTTTCGATATTATTATTATTATTTACATTACATAATTTGACGGTTACTTTCGTATTTTTTTTTTACAAAAAAAAAAAAATATTTTGCCTTAAGGCGGTTCTTCCTTCCATTACAAATTTTTTTTTTTTTGGACGAGGTTAATAATAATAATAATAATAATAATAATAATAATATTTGGGGACGTTCAACTCGTTTTTTTTTAATTTTATAAGCTTGCAATAACGAATTTTTTTCTCTTTTTTTTTTTGTTTAACGATTTATTTAAATTATTATTAATTTTTTTTTTTATTTTATTTTAACGTACAAAAAAACATGGCGGATATTTTTTTT